ATAAAGAATTATGTACTTCTTATGTTTACACATAAGTCCAAAAATCTAACCATATACAACCTTGAAACAGGACAGTCCCACAATATTCCTTTTCCTATCTCTTGCCTTCATTCACCACCCAATTCTTTTTGAACAACCATCTACCCAAGAGACAGCACAGCAGCACCTGGCATTTCATGACAAGTAGCTTGTATTCAGAAGACCAGAATGACAGGCATGCATTTGTTTTAAATGCTCAACTGACTGTATTGCGTAGAAGTGACATCAGTGTCAGTAGGTCAGATTCTACCGACACTGACCTACCTAGCTAAGTTCTGCCACTTAGCTATGTGCTCATAAGTAAATTCCTCAACCAACTTAGATTTTAACTCCATCACATGTAAGGTGAAGAGAATAATATTACAGACTTTATAAGATTGTTGTGAGGAACAAGTGATATAATAAGTGTTAAGGACATAGAAAATTCCATAGAGAGGCATAAATATTGCTTATTTTTTATTTCATGAGTTAAGTTTTAAAGTAGCATGTTGACAAAATAACTGAATTTTTTCTTTTTCCTTTTAAAGCATGAGAATGCTCTCAGTTTGAGTACACTCAGAATTTATAACAATGGATTACGACAACCACATTTTCATTTTAATGCTAATGAAATGGGATATGTATTGAGTGGTTGTGGAAAGGTAATTTCTCTATAAATATTTTTTCGTGTTTGTAAATGCATAAAGAGTGAATGGGAGATTTTGTTATTGTTGTTTTAGTACAGTCCTTAGTGACATAAAATGACAGTCCCAATAGCTTTCTGGGTACAGTTTTGACAGATGATGCTATACAGACAGACCGTAATAAATGGCCTCCAAGTTTGATGAATCAGAGATTAAAGGTGTGCATGAGAAGGAGCTAAGAATATATTAGAAGTGATAAAGACTTTGTTTGATGGAAGGTCTGGAATATTTGCTTAGATTTTGAGAGTTTTGCACTCAGATCATGCAAAGTGGAATGGCTTTCTCTGTGGGAGTGTGAAGCAGCTGCTTACTTCTCAGTATTATGTGAATTGGGGTAGCTGGGGTGGTGTGAGACATCAGTATGGTTGCCATCTGTTCCAGCTGATGCAAGATACTCTAAATATATACTTGTTTTCTGGGTGAAATTATTAATACTTTGTTTGACTCTTCAGAGAGTCTTGTTTCTGTGATACCTTGTATGAGTGCCATTAAAGAAAGTCAAGCTGTGTAGTGTATTAATAAAGTGATTTGACCAAAAGTCTATTCTAGACTTTCATGTGGGTCTCTTGGGAAATCTACAATATATACAGAAGTGGAATGGACCTCTTTAGGCTGTGCTTTTCTTGATTTGAAAGAATGAAAATCTGATTGAAATTCACTCATGTTGTAGCAAGATTTGTTCTATGTTTTTAGAGTTGAAAACTTTAATGCTTTGGGAAAAGCATTACAACCTTCCACAAATTATATTTCAGAGACTTTATGTTTGTTGTGCTCATTGTGTATTTGTACATATATTTAGTCCCCAATTCTTTTAAGAAAGACTGCTAAGATGGTTAGAAATGAAGGCTTAAGGGTAGTGAAACTCTGAACTGTAAATTCTCTGCAGAACTGAAGGATTTGCCTTTTGTACATGGAACAGACTTTGTGGTTCTTAATTAAAAAATAGCAATTGATACATTTTTTATATGATGTTCTATATATGAACTCAGCAGTGCAGTTTTAGTATTACTTATCTCAGTACATTTTGAATTTTGGGGGTCTCTATCTCTGAAAAAAGAATTTCTGTGAAAGATGGCTTTCATCTTCTGCACTGTACTGTCACTAAGAAATCCTCCTATAACCATGTTTTTTTAGTCACTTGTTCTTAGCTATCAATGTTTATCTTTAATGAATATTTGCTTTTTTGTACTTTATTTTTGTAAACATAAATTTTATTCCTTAGGTAGGTATTATCAGTACTCAGGGTACTGTAGAATTTAACATCCACATTGGAGATGTGATATTTTTCCCCATTGGAACCCAGCATTACATTAAGAGCACATGTGATGAGGATTTGCTTTTCATTCTTGCCTTCAGCACCAGAGACAAGGTAAGGATATGTCCACTGAAGAGAGAATGCTGTGTTAGTAATCTGTACAATACTCTGTTAAGCAGTGTGTTGACCAAGCAGGGCTCTCATTAAGTAAATGTGTGC